CCCAGATCCCAAGATGAGAATGGAGGAGAAGGGATTGTGGCATGACCAACCCCTTGGGGGGTGATTTCTCTCTTTCTGTCTCTCTGGTGACTGCACATACCCTATAGCAAAAATCTCTATTCCCCCCCAACCCCTCCAAAAAGGAAATGTTTAATGTGAAGTTAAGTGGGGTCAACCCCATGGCCTGTTGGTTAAGGGAACCATATCCCAAATGTACGGCCACACTGTTTGAGTTCCAGCCCCAGTAACTTAAGGAAAATGCTAAGCATTTGGGGTTATATGCCTAAAATCCCAAAATGGAGGAGGAGGGATTATGCTGTAACCATACTCCATTGGGGTATGGTTTCTCCTCCTCTTTCTGTCTCTGTACCTGGTATGTCTACAGTCCCTCTGGCAAATTTTTTTCAAATATGAGTTTGGGGCCAGAAGGTGGGATAGTGGTTAAAGTTCTGGACTCCTACATGGTCGACTGTGGTTCGAGACCCAGACCTGGCAGCTTGTTTTCTCACTTTCCCTATTTCTTTCTCTCTCTCTCTTTATTCAAAGTGAAAAATAATAATAAATAAAATAATTTTTTTAAATATGAGTTTAATTTCACTTCATTTTCTCCCCCCCTCCCCCAATTCAAGAAAAACAAACTTACTAAATTAAAAAGAAAAGGTTAAAGTAATAATGAAGTGTAACAACATGGGAGAAATGAGGTTGTATTTCCATACTTAGAATCTTAAAATCATTTCAGTAAGATAATATGGTACACAAAGAAGTTCACCTACTTTTATGATTTTATGGTATTTTTATTCTTTAGGTGGCCTATCTTATCCAACAAAATGTTATCCCACCTTTCTGCAACTTACTGACTGTAAAAGATGCACAAGTTGTGCAAGTAGTACTCGATGGACTAAGTAATATATTAAAAATGGCTGAAGATGAGGCAGAAACCATAGCCAATCTTATAGAAGAATGTGGAGGTAAGTTTATTATAATAATTATAAGTAATTACTCTTCATTTCAGTACTCTGTGTAACTGGTGTTATTTTCTGACTAATATAATAACACTTCCTGTATTTTTTTTGTCTTAGATAATCAAGTAACATAACTAAGTAAATAACTGTATTTTATATGTATAGTACTGTTCAATCTTTCACATATGCTTAGGAAACTTAATTGCTGCCATATGTTGAACAGGCAATATGCTAAGGTACTGGAAGACAGTGGTAAACAAAACACAGTCCATGCCCTCAAGCCATGTCAGTCTAGTCTTGAAAATAAATATAAACTGATTTAATGTGCTAATTACCCTAATAGAAATGTACAACAAAATGGGATACCTAATCCATCCTCGAAGAAGCAGGAAATGACACCTGAGCTGGATTTTGAGAGATGAATAAGGATTAATAAAGTAAAAAGGGATGAAAGGTGTTCCAGGCAGAGATAACACCATGAGCAAAGTCTGAGGTGAGAAATAGCATTCAGCAAATTATAAGTAGTTCAGTGTTGCTGAATCACAAAATATGGGGTAGAAACTGTCAAGAGACAAGGCTGGAGATGTAGCCAGTATCCAGACACCTGTGAAAGCTTGCAGACTTAGGAGCACAGCAGATACTGTATTTTCACAGGGAGTAGTTCAAAATACGGTGCGCACCAGAACCTCCTGGAATGTACAACACGTAATAGCTTTCAAATCTGAGAGTTAACACGTAAGAAGTTTCCAATGTGGCTCATAATAGCTTTCAAATCTGAGTTAACATGTAAGAAGTTTTAAATGTGGCTGTGGATCACAATGTAAATGTTACCAACCTGGATAAATATAAAAGTGAAGATATTTCTGACAGAAGTTGAAAAGTGAATGAAAGGGGTGATAATTGCAAGAGAAGAAGAACCCATATATTAACATAAAAATACAGGTCATTGAACATTGCCTGCCTCACTGGAGGTACGCGTAGGAATCTGTATTTTTGTAAACTGCCCAATGGCTGCTGCCATGAAATATAACAAGCTATTGGAGGATTTCACCTAAGGGATTGATTGGTTTGTTGAAATTGAGCACAGATATCTGGGGAACCAGGGACCTTTGGGGACAGTGAAACCAGTTGGGAAAATATTGGGCTGTCGGAAAAGTCAGGACATATTTTTCTGTAAAAAATGCATCAAGACTTTTCTGATGACCCAATATATAGTGGTCAGGCTACAGTAAATAAAGGCAGTAGTAATAGAGACAGGAGATTTGACAAGATTCAAGAAATGAATAGACTTGGACGTTTGTGAGATTCGATTGTGGGCTATTGGGGGAAAGGGAAATTGAGGTTTCTCTCAGATTTAAAGCTGTTGTTGATTATTACCAAGAAGATTATAGGACAGTTTAAATGAGGAAGGCAAATAACAAATTGTGTTTTGTACAATTTTGAGCTTTAACTACCTGTGCAATGTCTTGGTAGAATTAGGAAGGCTTTTGGACTTTATGCATATTAAGCCTAGAAAATAAAGCTATAGATATATAAGTCTTTTACCTATATGCAGTTAATGGGAAGATTGTCAAAAGAATAATGTGTGAAGCGAGAAATGAGCCCAAGATAACTTTCTCCATTTAAAGAATAGAAGAGGCCAGTAGATGGTGTGGTGGCTAAGGCGCTGGACTCCCACATGGATGGCCATAGTTTGAGCCTTGAACCTGGTGGCTTGAAATCACACTGGTTGAATGTGTACGTGCTCCCAGAATCCTGAGGGGAGAGTGGAGAAGGGATTATGGTGTAGCCAACCCCCTGGGGAATGATTTCTTACTTTCCCTCTCACCATCTCTCTCTCTCTCTCTCTCGAGCAAGCACGGGCTCCCTATGGCCAAAAAAAAGATAGAGGAAGAACTTTGGAAGCAGAAATTTCACAGGCTTTAAAATTACTCCTTTCAGAAAGCAAAATAAGATCTAATTTGCATATCAACAAGTTAAATATGTCTTCTTTTCAGTGTTTCTGCCTATAATTTAATAAATTTACTGATGTTTACAGGAAAAAAACCCTTTTTCACTGAAATACTGTGTTTGATCTTTATCATTTTTCTATTATACTTAACAGCTATCTTAAGCATTAATAAATATTAGTCTCTATTATTTTTTATTTCTTTTTTATGTGCAAAGAAAAACTTGGCAGATGATAGCCAGTAGGAAGATTCTGCTTTTATTTTTAACAAAATTATCTTATATAGTATTACTCTTTAGAAACATTGCTTATATATTAGTCTGCTGAGTAACTACTGATTACTTATTCTCAGGTTAATTTTTTAGAGATAAATATCTTTGTGCATAAGACCTTTTCATAGTCAAGATCTACCTTTTAGAGTAGCTTCTCGAAAAGTTTAATCCAAAGAAGTTTAGATTTTATATTGGCCAGATAATTATAAATCATCACTGTTTTTTTTTTTAAATATTATCATTGTTTCACTTCATGAAATTTCTTGCAGGACTGGAGAAAATTGAACAACTTCAAAATCATGAAAATGAAGACATCTACAAATTGGCCTATGAGATCATTGATCAATTCTTCTCTTCAGATGATGTATTTAATAATTTTTTTCTTAGTTTTATGTATGAATATAAGTCTAGATAAAATAGTAAGCTAGGGAATATAAATTTATTTTGGAATGAAATTTAAACAGATATGTGGTAGTAATATCACTTGCTTTGAAAATAAGTATTTCAGTAGTTCTATTGGCAAAAAAAAAAATTTTTTTTTACAGTGATTGAGTCAAGTTTTATTTTCCCTCAATATTTTTTATAGTAGTCTTTTTTTTGTATTGTTCATACCATAACACATTCATTAATAAAACAGTGATACTAGTATTTTCTATAATGAATTTTTGGCAATAGTAATTAATTAATCTATATTTGAATATGTTGGCACTGTTAGTTTTATGTGGTGACCAAAAACAATGAAGATAATAAATAAGGTAAAAAAAATCATTAAAAAAGATAAGGCACTATTCCTTTAAGAATAGTATACAAATATGTCTTAAGAGTGTAAGTGTTTAGGTTAGGTATCTTGTATCCTAAATTCCTGAGACCAGAAGTGTTTCTGAGTTCAAGTACACAATGAGATCATCTTGGGGATAGGATTCAAGTCTACATACCTAATTCATTTGTTTCATATGTATCTTCACATAGCCTGGAAATAATTTCATATAATAATCTGTTTTGACTGCAACTCGTCATATGAGTTAAGGTGTGGAATTTTCTGCATGACATGTCAGTGCTCAAAAAGTTTCAGGTTTTGGAACATTTCGGATTAGGGGTTTTCAGGCTAGGGATGCTCAAGCAGTAACTAAAATTAAAATATTCACTTATTTTTAGTATTACCTCCTTGGACAACTAAATCTAAAATTAAAGCAGTTGCTTCTTAGAAAGTTATAATGGTGTGCCGGCCCCATAGCCTACTGGTTAAGGGAGCTGGATCAATCCCATGTGACTGGCCACAGTTTGAATTCTCACCCTGCCAACTAAAAAAAAAAAAAAAAAAAAAAATGGGGCATGCCCCAAATCCCTATGGGATGGAAATTACAGTGGGACCACAGTGTATTGGGGTGTGCTTTCTTCTCTCCTTTCCCTCCCTATCTCTCTCTCTCTTTCTCTCTCACTGTCAAGCACACACACCCTCTGGCATTCAAAAAATATATTGGCTATAATTCTGTAATAATGGATTTCTTGAATGATTTTCTCAACTTTTCGTAAGTCGTATACCGCATACTTTTTTACATGATCCAAAAAGAGTGGAATGTTATTAAACATTTTGTCAAACATGTATGGTATAAACATTAACCTGACAAGGACAATGCTAGATAAGAAAATTATAGGTTATTGAGACCAACGAGTGGCATAGTGGTTAAGGCTTTGGACTCCCACATGATCTACCATGGTGTGAGTTCGAGATCTGGCTGCTTGAAACTCACACCAGGTGCATGTGCATACATGCCCAAAATCCCAGAAAGAGAATAGAGGGGAAAGAATTGTGTGACCATCTTCCCAGGGGGTGATTTCTCACTTTGCCTCTCACTGTCTCTCCTCTCTCTCTGTTTCTCTGGCTACTACACACACAGGGTGGCAAAAAAACCTTAAAAAAAAAAAAAAAAAGAGAAGAAAATTACAGATTATTTACTTATAGATGTCTAAGCCAAGTCCTATTTGGAATATAATGCCAGTTAAATAAATCAGAACTAAAATCCAGAATGAGTGTACTCTTCTAAGGGTAGCTTTAATCATATGACTTAAAGTTAGATTTTTGAAAGTCCTGATTTGTAATTAGGTGACTAATCATAGTAAGACAAGACCTTATGATTTCTATTACCTCAGCATCCCTTCACATTGTAAAGGAGTAATTCAGGATTATAGGAACTATAGGTTTATAATTTTGTGGAATTTAAAAAAACCTTTAGCTATAAAGCATATATTATTTATCCATTATTAGCAGAACTGTAATCTTACTGTTTTAAGTCCAAATTCCATTTGTCTCTAATGGCTATTGAAAAAGTAACCAAACATTACACTTACTTTCCAAAAGTGGTGGTGTTAATTTTTTAAAATGTTGTTGACTTTATCTATTTGCCCAGGTACAAGGGAATGGTGTGTGCCAATGTGTACTCTCCTTGTTTGAGACCTAGGACCACCACTAATTTATTGCTGCTACTTCATTCTTTTGGAAGAATCCATCTTGCATATTCTCTTAACTTTTTTCTCACTTTGATATTCCTTAAACAAAAGTCTTTACAAAGTGCTTCAGCTTTTTAAAGGATGATAAGACAATGTGGATACTCAGTCATCTCCCACAATTTGTAGAAGTATAATGGGAATGTTAGTATGATGCTACTTAACTATACTTTAAAACTAATCAGCACATTCTTTTTTTTTTTTTCCCCTAGATTGATGAAGATCCTAGCCTTGTTCCAGAGGCAATTCAAGGTGGAACATTTGGTTTCAATTCATCTGCCAATGTACCAACAGAAGGGTTCCAGTTTTAGAAAGATATTGTGGAAGTTAGGTACAATGCAGCACTGATCTCACTTTGATATTCCTTAAACAAAAGTCTTTACAAAGTGCTTCAGCTTTTTAAAGGATGATAAGACAATGTGGATACTCAGTCATCTCCCACAATTTGTAGAAGTATAATGGGAATGTTAGTATGATGCTACTTAACTATACTTTAAAACTAATCAGCACATTCTTTTTTTTTTTTTTCCCCTAGATTGATGAAGATCCTAGCCTTGTTCCAGAGGCAATTCAAGGTGGAACATTTGGTTTCAATTCATCTGCCAATGTACCAACAGAAGGGTTCCAGTTTTAGAAAGATATTGTGGAAGTTAGGTACAATGCAGCACTGAGATATATATATATATACATATATATAAAAAGGTTTGATCCATCAAGCTTGGCTCATGGGATCTGCTGCTGCATTAAATCGGGAAAGAAAATGTGAAGATTTCATTTGGAATCACAGAAAATGCCCAAATGAGGTCAAGATGGCGAGTGGGTGCGAGTGAGAATGAGTGGCAAAATGTAATGAAAACTTTACATGGATGCTTATTTAGGTTGTTCAAAGTAAAAAGGGCTACAGGTCACAGATCTTCAGTGCCTGAGAAAGAATATTGATTGACTTACTCTTTATCAACTGAGGGGAAAGTGCAGTACTGTCATCTTCAAGCCTTGTAAGCATAAAAGAGAATAGGATGCCCATATAAGTCAAAGGAAAATGAGCCCAGGCCTTGCTATGAAGCAACGTGTGAGTGGACAGTGTTGAATGAATGTCTGGCTCGGTGATGGAGAGCCAGGTTCATCTTTCAAATCTAGGGCTCTTCACTCATGAAGCAGACTCCTAGTCCTGGAGTGACTGTGTACGAGAGTGTGGTTGTGGTGCTGTATGTGAACGCATGCAAGCTTGATTCGCCTTCAGGGGGCTGATAACAAACCTAGTAAATCATCAAAGTGAGATCATAAGTGTTTATGTACACTGGACATAAAAACAAAGACCGGTTTAGCAGCAGACATTGGTTTACTCTGCAGCCTGTGTTTTCTATTTCCCCTCTTCCCTTTTCCCTCTTCCCTCCCTCCCTACCCACCCAAAGGCTCCCCCTTATTTTTTTGTTTTTATTTACTTTACCTAGTATGGCTTTTTTTTAGTTGCTTCTCAAGTCAGAAAAATTTCAGGAAGGTTTCCCTGTGCATTTGCACCAGATGAATGTTTGATGCTATGAAAAGCTTTCCATATCATCAAAACTAATTTGTGTAGATTTTTGCATGAAAAAAAATCATAAAATTCCCTCAAAATAGACTGTGTTGCAGTACACAAGTTGCCATAATAGTATAAAACAGTAAAATGTGCTTAAAAGGCCATCCTTTTCATTTTCAGAGATAACATAAAGATCTTTGCATGAGGTAAATCTACAGCATAGTTCATTTTTAGATTTTGTTGAGTCCTGTAAAGAAGAAGAAGAAAAAAGTTTCAGTTGTGGTAGAATACCGTGCTGTGTTTAAATGTTCTTGTTTTCAAACTTTGTTTTCTATGAAAATGATATGGAAACTTCTAAAATGGAATTTGGTGCATATGTACTGCTGAATAAAGACCGATGATGAGGTTTGAGTAGATGTACAAATCAAGTAATGGTTTGAACACCTTTAATAATATGCCTAATCTGTTCAATTGTTTTAGAATCTTTTTATCTTAGATGTAGGCAGCCATGAACAATCTATTTTGAGCCACTTTAGGGAGAAAACTTTGTATTTTTAAAACTTGCATAAAAATTATGCAAGTGGTTTTTATAAATTGGAATAATACCTCAGTTTTGAGGTTATGCACACTAAATTAAATGTGACATAAATTAATTTGTAGAAAAAGAACTCTTTATAAGGTGGCTCATTGTAGGAAATCCTGTGCCTTCCCCTTTGAGCACAAGTGTTGCATGAACAACAGTTTGCTATAAAAACATACCAGATTAGCCACCATTAGCATCTATATCTACTTTGTGTTTAAAAATCAACTGGTAATTCTGAAACACTGTAGAATGGATAAAAATTATTTTGTGATCATAACTCTTTGTTGAACTAGAGTATTTTTGCAGCATTCCTTGTCATCAGAAACATGGTTAAAGTTTAAAACTAGAAGCAGCAGAAAACTAGCTTGTAAAATTTATCCAAGTAGAGTGCAGGCTAGGCTGTCTTGGGGAAATAAACATTAAAACTTAAAGCAATGTTTTACATGGGGTGTGTATGTGTGGTGTGTGGATTTTTTTTATATTCATGTAATGTTAGAATATAACTCAATGGTTCATATTAGATTCTTGCTTAGTTAAGCTCTTTACCTAGAATCATATGATAGAAAGAATTTCATAGATTCTATCATTTCAGTACTGACATACTAATATTTTAGTTCAAAGGAAACATAATTTTGTTCAGTCAATACCATCTATTGCTTTTGTTTTTCCCCTTTCTAAACCGTGGTTCTGACTTTCCTTCATTCTCCCGGCAAAATAGACTATGAGAGATGACTTGAGTTATAGTCTTAAGTGTTGTTGTAACTTCAACATACGGCTTCAAATGATAGATCACATACAAAGCATGGTTTTCACTGAAAGCTTCGGTTACTGGGATGTGACAATTCTTTGCACAATTTGTGTTTTTTGCTAAACGAATGTCTAGTTCTAAATAAGCAAATGAGCTTATAAGCCAAATTATTTTAGAGAGTAATCACCCTTACATATATATGAAGTAGGTAGGGGTGACATTAACATCTCCAAGTACAAGGGCTACCTGATGGTGTAAATACTTTATTTTTACCTATGGTTTCATGTAGAACATTGATTTTCTAAAATTCTAGGAGAGACTTTTTTATGTCTGAAAGTTTTTCAATACAATTAAAAAATTCAATATAGTTCATTTAAATGCACCCTTTAAAAAAGAATTCATTGATCTAGAAAATTGATTCATTTTTAACATAGACCATTACTTCTCATGAGAGAAAAAATGGAATAACAAGCCTAATCAGCCGAATATTCTTGACGTTTTGTATCTTAAAATGCTTTTTTGGAATACTGAGTCCTTTTCAAGTCTATAAAAATAAGCTTGTTATAGTAGAGGCATGTGAGACACTCTAGTCTAAAATAGATCTTTAAAGATAGTATTTTCTTTCTCTAATTTTTTCAAAGACTTCAGTAATTATGTCATGGTAGAATTAATATTTTCTACACTGCTCAAGACCAAATCTAGAGCATTTCCATTGGTTGTGGGAAAAGTCATGGCACATTTTTGCAAGGAAAACACATCATGACTTTTCCGATGACCCAATATAGTTGAAGCTATCTACTAATCATTAAACTACTTCTGGAGGACCCGGCAGGTCGTGTGGTGGTTAAGACACTGGACTCTCTCCCACATGCCCAGCTGTGGTTCGAGTCCTAGACCTGGTGACTTTCTTTCTCATTGTCTCTCTCTGGTCACATTAAAAAAGTAATGATGATAGGGACCAGCAGATGGCATAATGGCTACATCACTGGACTCCTATGTAGTTGACTATGGTTCAAGTCCCAGACCTGGTAGCTTAAACTCACACCGGGCTCATGTGCATGCATGCCCAAGGTCCTGAGAGGAGAATGGAGGAGAAGGAATTGTGGTGTGGCCATCCTCCCGGGGGGGTGATTTCTCGCTTTCTGTCTCTCTGTCTCTCTCTGTCTTCCTGGCGAGCACATGCACCCCCGAGAGGAGAAGGGATTGCGGCGTGACCATCCCCCCTGGGGGGTGATTTCTCGCTTTCTGTCTCTATGTCTCTCTCTGTCTGTCTGGCGAGCGCACGCGCCCTTCAGTGAAAATCTCTCCAAAAAAAAAAAATGATGATGAGTAAAATAATTCTTTAAAAAAAAAAAAAAAAAGCTCCTGGAAGAAGTTTGGGGTGAGTATTGGCTAATTTAGTTTAGGTTTACCTCAGCTGCAGTTTATAGGTTGAGGGTTTTTGTTTTTTGTTTTTTGTTTGTTTTTTGGTTTTGGGGGTTTTTTTGTTTGTTTTGTTTTGTTTTGTTTCGTTTTGCTCTTTAAAGGTATAAATGCTTTGTAAAGTAACTAGGTTTGCTGTAACAGTGTAAATTATGGGGCATCCATAAGGGGATTCAGCATTGTCTCAATTTCCTCAAGAAAAAGGTTACAGAAATTATGCTAACTTCTTACTTTAAAGATTCATTGCGGGGATCATCAGATGGCATAATGGTTATATCACTAGACTCCCACATAGTTGACCACAGTTCAAGTCCCCGGACCCAGTGGCTTAAAACTCGACACGTGTGCGCGTGTTTCCAAAATCCCAAGAGGTGAATGGAGGAGAAGAGATTGCAGCATGGCCATCCCTTCTGGGGGAGCAAAAATGTCTTGGCGGGGGAAGACTATTTGCTACAGAACAAATTACCACAAACTTAGTGAGTTAAAACACAACATATGGGGGCTGGCAGGTGGTGTGGCGGTTAAAGGCGCTGGATTCTCATGTGGCCAACCACGGTTCAAGTCCTGGACTTAGCAGCTTGCTTTTTCACTTTCCTTTTCCCTCTGTCTCTGGTCAAGTTAAAAAAATTATAAATAACAAATGGAAATAATTATTTTTTTGAATGTTATTTTACAGGTTTTGTGAGTCAAAAGTTGGTCCAGTTGTTTTACTCAGTGTCTGAGGCAGCAGTTAAGGTGTAGCCAGAGCCATAGTCTCTTCTGAAGCTGGGGACCCTCTTCCATGCCCATGTGGCAGAATCCATTTCCTTGCAGCTGCAGAACTCATGACAGCTTGCTGCTTCAGTGCCAGCAGAAGAATCTGATCTCAGGGAAGGTCTGAAACTCTCTTTTTAAAGAGTTCATCTGATTAAGCCAGGTTCTCCAAAACCAGTAATAGTTTCCAATTTGATTATTCTAAAGGCCAAAATGGTTAGGTACCTTAATTACACCTACAAAATCCCTTCACTCTTGCCCTGCATTGCAGTCCTTTCACAGGGTGATAACTATCATTCACAAATCCTGCCCACTTTCTAGGGAAGAGGTTAAACAGTGTGTGCCTATCAGAGAACCTTGAGGACCGTCTTAGAATTCTTAGAACAAGGGGTTATCAGTATTTAAAATTGGACCAGTGTAGAAACAATCACTTCCTATAGTGCAAGTTTATTTTTGATGCCTTTAATGAAAACCAGACCAGCTACCCCAAAAAGTACAAATAAGTGTTCTATACCATTTTAGGGGATTCACGGGAGCCCATGAGTTAAAGTACAAGTCATCTGTTCCCCTTCAGATGATAAAGTTGTCAAGAAATGATTTACCCACGGTCACAAAGCAGCTGAAGACCAAAAAAGGCCCAGATCTTAACTCCCATACTCTGCAGTGGTTCCAGTTACTGTTCTAAAACTAATCTAAATTTCCATTTGTGAGCCAATGCCAAAGAATGTTTATGCAGCTTTTCCTATCTTGTATACTGAGGAATGACCTAACATCAGAAAGTTACTTGACTTCCTTTCGAGTTTTCAAAATCGAATCTTGTAGCTATTACGGTCAATAGGCCAATGTAGACCTTAATTTCACTTTAATCAAAAGCAACTACTCTTGAAGTTTAGCGGATTGTTTACCCTTTTTATTTTAAAATTTACTACAGGGCACATGCGCTCACTAGAGAGAAATAGAAAGTGAAAGGAAGTGCCCAGTGTATTCTCTTCTCCATTCTCTTGGGACTTGTGGCATATATGCAGGTGTGTCCTGTGTATTTTTCAAGCCACCAGGTCCCATGCAGTTGGCTATGTGGGATCCAGATGCCTTCATCACCACACCACCAGCTGGCCTAGATTATCTTTTTTATGTATAACATTTCAGTTAAAATTCACTGTTGACTATTTTGAAAGCAAAGATATCTGAGCATTCTTAACTTTTTAGAATGTCTTGATCTTACTCATTGAGAAAACTTTACTGTCAGCTAATAATATTATGGAAGGGGAATTAAGCTCAGTCACCTAATCCAATGTTCCCAAACTGTACTAGCAAATCCATGCCTAACGAGCTTACCATTTTGAACATTTAAAGGGAAAAAATAATTTGGGGAAAGTAATTTTTTAAAAAAATTTAATAAGCACATTAATAAAATGTATGCTTTTTTAAAAAATACATTTATAAAAGTGTTGTGAAATGATGCCATGAGGTCAGAGTGTACAATGATGGCCTTAATGCAATGCAGATTCTTAATAAAGCAAGATGAAAGAAATGAAGATTTGTAAAGTGGTATTGTAGTGGGATCAGAACAGCTCTACAGAATTTAATCACATTGCATTTTAAGTAGCACTTAAGTAATGCATAGCAACAGTAGATTAACTTTTCCCCTCAAGACTTAACATAGCAGTTCTTTAGTTTTGAATATTCCTTCTAAATTTAGGCTCTCTAGGTGACACAGTTTCATTCAGGATGTCTGTCAAGCTGTACAGTTGATAAAATGTATTTGACAGCTGCCATTTATGTGTAAGAGCAGCTGAGTATGAAAAGTAAATTGCGGAGAGATTCTGTCTACCTCCCACCAGTGGGCCACAGTATGCCCTCATCATCATGTTCTGTCTGCACAGAGTTGTGTGTGTTTTATAGTTGTAAATATGCTGCCTACTCCAGGTTACTTAGCTTTTCTAGGCTATCAGTCCTTTAAGATTTTTCTTCCTGTTATCATTCAGTCACAAGTCCTACGTTCCCTAACCATTTTTTACGTCTGATCTGTGTAGCTGACAGGTTGACTGTAAACTTCTAATTTTATCCAAGGTTTCCTTCAACCTGTTTTTACTCTAAAACAACTTAAAATTTTCCGATAACCTGATTAAATCTACATGAATTTTGTGGTACTCTCAGTCCCCCCCACACACCTGCCTTCCAGATACAGTGTCTTCCCGTCCCGCTTCCTCTTGATTTTTAAGCTCTGTGAGCCACCCTCCCCATCCTTCATAAATCGTTACTGTTACATTCTTTTTTTTGATGCAGTGATAATACCCAACTCTTAGACTTGGCAGAAGAGGTTATTTATCTTTAAAAAAATTGTTTCGTTTAAAATTGTATAGGGAGTGCCTGTCTAGACAACCTATTCTCTCTCCCGTGGCATATTTGTTTTCTAGGAGTTGTCCTGTTAACTCATTTATGTAGAACTTACCTATCACCTAGTCTGAGTATTCTGCTTTTATTTTTTGCACTTGGGGTTGGCAGAGAGCTAGGCAGAGAAGGAAT